CGAGTGCCCCCCCCCCGCCGCACCTCGTCTGGGCACTCGCGGACCGGGGCTCGCCGCGCGCCGGCGCACAGTGTTCTGCTGCGCGCGCAGGCAACGCCCCTCGCCGCGGGGCCGCAAAGACGCGCGAGCACGCGGCCCTCCCACTTCTTGGCTCTGGGTCACCGCCCCGCCCCGCCTCCTCGCCCGCACGAACCTAGTGAGCCCAGCGCGCGACACTGCCGGAACGCTCCGCCCCTTTCCCTCACGCCGGGGCTCGGCGCGCGGAGCCCCTTTGTTTCCACCCCTCCGGGGAAGCTGGGGGAAGGGAGAGAGACGCCAGGAGGGGGTTGGGGATGGCAAGTGAGGTGGGGCGGGGCTGAGCTGCTCGGACTAGTTCCGGCAACAGAGCCCGCTGCGCAGCACCATTGCGCAGCCCCGCCCCGGCCGCCCCTCGCGCCCCGCAAGGCCGTGTTTCCAAGTCTTACAATCTCTTCCCAAATTGTTGCTACTGCTCTGGTCCTCTCATTTCCAAAACTCAGCAGTCCAACAGTAACCTCACAATATGTATCCATATGGCCCGAGATGTAGGAATTTTTACTAATGTAGCTATTAGTGTCGCACAATGGAGCTAGCAGATTCGAATCTCACTTAACCGCTCTAAGATTTCGCTAAACTGACAAGTTGTTCACACCTTGCTGGAGATGAGAAGTGAGATAAGAAGACTTAGGCTGGCTTGACTCTGATCTGGCTTGGCTCTGATCCTGATCAAGTTCAGGACCCATGAACGGTTGCACGTAAAGAAGAGATAGTGGTATGGAAGTTAGAACAGTCAAGGAGATATCATGGAAGTGGACTTTTTTAAAAAAAAAAAAAGAAAGAAAGAAAAATGAGGCAATTTCTACAAGCTGATATTTTAGGATGTTGGGGCAAAATTATTATTAACTAGAAAACCCAGGTTCTATTTATTTTGGTATTACGTAAGCCAGTCCCCTCTCTCTGGGCTTCAGCTGCCTCCAATAAAAATAGGAGACTCAGACTTTAGTGATGTTTCAGGACTCTCTGAATATTCTGTTTATGAGCGACACTATACCATCATTATTTATGTACTTTTGTCTCTCATAACGGACTGAGACTGGGACTCTGTTGTGACTAACTCCAAAGCCCAAACAAAGTGCGTGAAACACAACAGGTGCTTAGCAACTGCTGAATCAAAGTTCTAGCAATAACATCACAAGCTTTTATAATTCCAGGACAAAGGGAAGCTGGAATGAGATAAGCAGGTCCCTATGAACATCTCTCTCCTGCTGCTGTCCATTATGTGGTTCAGTTACATACCTACTCTCTCCTTAACCTTCTGTCAGTCTTCCAGCAGCCAGTTTGAAGATGATTACATCCTAATTTTTACTTTTTTATTTCATGATACAGAGTTAGGCCCCAACCACACCTTTAGGTGCATTAAATATAATCTATCTCCTTTTTTTTTTAAGAATTATTTTATTTAACTTTATCTGTTTGTTTGTTTATTTAAATTTGACCAGAGAAGGACAGAGTGACAGAGAAAGAGGGAAAGTGAGAAAGCAAATCGCCAGGTCCAGGATTCTAACTGCAATTGGCCATGTGGGAATCCAGCACCCTTAACCACCATGCCACCTGCTGGCCGGAAATATATTTCTAACGTCTAGGTCTCACAAGCCCCATTGTCCTGCTGTGGTCACCTTGCATTACAGAACTTCCATGAGAATCGCTGCTAAAACGTCTTCCTTTCATAATGTGGTCCTCCTGAAATAGCCTTTCCTACATGCTTGGCTAGGGTTACGTGACAAATGGGAAAAAGGGAGAAGTCATCAAAGGGGAAGGAAATTTGGGAGCTGTCACATTAAAAGAAGCAGATTCCTCAAATGCTCAATCTCAGCACAAAATTCTATTACAGTCCTTCAAGGTTCTTCAACCATAAACTTAAGTAAATCCCCTGGGCTTTAGCCAACCCTTTGTCAGGTAAACTGACTGCAGCTAACTGGGCTGAGGGCCTAACCTAGGAAGTCTATCCCAATAATGCTGCCACAACTCCAGGTGGGAGAGTTTGGAATCTGTACTGCAATTCCTTCTCTGATTTTTTTTTTTTAAGAGAGATTCTTGCTATATGGCATGTGCTCACCAAAGAGACAGAAAGCAAGAAATCACCCCAATGCCCATGCCCCAATCCCTTCTCCTCTACTCTCTTGGGACCTTGGGCACACATGCTTGGTGTGAGTTTTAGGCCACTAGATCCAGGACTTGAACTGTGATCAACTACATGGGAGTCCAGCATCTGATTTTTTTTAACCAGAAAACCTGGTGCTGTGCTATCAGACACTCAGTAAGTGAATAGGCTTTTAAAGTGGGCCTCCTAATGTTGCTAGAGTTAAATTATACCAGAACAGTTGCTCAGCTGTAATCCAGCTACAGTTATATTTGACATCTCTCTGCAAAGGTGTTAAGTCCTGGTAGGGAACTATCTAATAATAAAATTTTGCAGTGATAGAAGTGTTCTACAACTGAGGCCAGTCAGGATGTGGTAGTAAAGGTGGCTGGATTCCATATGGCAGAATGTACACTTTAAGTCCCAGACCGGGTGGCTTGGAAAACACACCAAGTGCATGTGCTTGTGTGCTCAAAATCCCTGAAAATGGAGAAGGGATTGCAGCATAGTCAGCTCCCTTGTGGAGTCCCTATTCCACTCCCCCCCCCACAGTTAGCACACATGCCTTATAGAAAAGTTTTTTTAAAAAAGGAAAGAAACATTCTATGTCTGCACCATCCAAAAGGCAGCACCTGGGAGCCAGTGGGTTGCATGGTGGTTAAGGTGCTGGACACTCCCACATGGCTGACCACAGTTCAAATCCCGTATCTGGTGGCTTGCTTTCTCACTTTCCCCCCTCTCTCTGTCTGTCTCTCTCTGGTCAAATTAAAATGAAAGAATAAACTTAAATAAATAACTTAAGAAAAAAATAATAATAAATAAAATTAAATAAATAATTGTTTTAAAAAAAGAAGGGCCTACTGAACACTTGAAATGTGGCCAGTGCAATAATGAACTCACTAGGATCAAATCTTAGAACTTTTATTATATTTTAATACAATATTTTTATTTTGTTATATTTTAATAAATAATATCTTTATATTATTATATTTTCAAATTTAGATATACAGACCACAACTTTAAAAATCGTATATGGGGGCCAGCAGGTGGTATGGTGGTGAAGGTGCTGGATTCTCACATGATCAACTGCTGCTCAAGTCCTGGACCTGGCAGCTTGAAAATCACCTGAAACATGCCCACCCATGCCCAGAATCCCAGGAAGAGAATGGAGAAGAGACTACAGCATGGTCATCTTCACTGGGAGGGTGATTTCTCACTTTCCCTCTCTGTCTCTCTTCAGCAGGTGCACAACCCCTGTGTCAAAAACAAACAAAACAAAACAGAAACCCACATATGACTACCTATATATGGCTAGGGGTCAGCAGTATTTGTTTGGGCAAGATCTTTTTATGAATTCAGACTCCAAGGCTGCTCTTTAACATTAGTTTTCTTAACAGAAGTGAGAATTATGAATGACCACTAAAAACTGTTCTTCCAGGATCAACACTTGACATAATGGTTACAATGCTGGACTCCCACATGTTCAACCACAGTTAAAGTCCTGGACCTGGTTGGTGGCTTGAAACTCATGCTGGGTACGTGTGCATGCATGCCCAAAATCCTGAGAAGAGAATGGAAGAGAAGAGATGGAGGTATGGCCACCCCCTCAGGGGCTGATTTATTGCTTCTGCCTCTCTGGCGAGTACATGCACCCTGTAACAAAAATCTCTGTCTCTAAAAAATATCAAAACAACTAAAAAAAACTGTTCTTCCAGAGATACCCAAGTCATTCACATTCCCTTACTTCTAAAATAAAAATGTATCAAACCATTGCTTATCAAGCAGGAAAATATTGAAAGTTCCTTCAAACCGGTCATTGAGATAGTCTCTCCTGGTGCCCTACCATTCTAAAACAGTAACAGCAGCCACTATAGAACTTGACCCAGACATCCATCACTGTACAGAAACTGCATAGGATTTCAGAACTGATCACTATGTGAACAAGTCCAGCCTATTCTTCAATTCTAAATCTCATTCATTTCTCACCTTCTCAAGGACTCTAGCAATTCTCCCTCTCCCTTCTATATCATTCCCCCCCCATCTCTCTCTACTAGGATTATTTATAACAGAACACACAAACATATCATTAATTTCTATGAACTTTAAATCTTTGGTTTGTGTTTTTGTTCCCATTGTTATCCTGTTTAAGGAATCTTTCTCTATGCTTGGTTGGTTCAGAAAATATTTTCCTGTGTTATTTTCTTAAAGCTTTTATTATATTTTCACGTTTAGATATACACACGACCTAGAATTGATTTTGGGTTTAGTGAGGTGGAAATCAAATTAGTTTTTGTTTTTCCTTTCTCCATATGGACATCTATTTGACAAAGTAATAAATATTGAAAAGACTGTTTCTAACCATTTCTTTGTCTAAAAAACCAAGTGTCCACATATTCATGTGTTTGTTTCTAGGCTTGTAGTCTGTCCCACTGTTCTTTTTATCTTTGTGCTGATACCACACCATTGTTATCACTGTAGCTTTGTAAGACCTCTCTTTATCT